GGTAGAACTGCCCCTGTGAGTTTCCAAGACTGTGACTCTTTATGGGAGTGGAAAGCCCCATCTTTCTCCCAAGGAGCACCTAGTGGTTTCCAACCGCCAAGCTTTGGGATCGCAGCCCAACATGTAACCACTACACCATCAGGGCTCTAGGGACGATGACAGGTCCATAATTAGAAAGCAAGCAGTCCAGTAAAAACCGTGCAACTGATCTTAGGATGTAATTAAGCCCACCAAAAAATGCTGAGCATCATACGTGACCGTCACCGTTGCTGCTGTCTGTTGCCTTTGAGCTGGCTCTGACACGGGCCCCCTTGTGCCAAACAGCACCGGGACTGGCATCGCCCTCTGCGCCCAACTCATCAGCATTGCTGCTATGTCACCGGGTCCATTGCAACCCACAGCGATCCCTGACGATGACGTAGGAGCGCTGCGCCCCAGGCCTTCCCAGGCGGTCACCTGTCTGGGAGCAGGTCACCAGGCCTCTCTCCTGGGGCCACTGGCTGGATTGGCGCTGCCAAATTTGTAGTTGACAAGTGAGCATTGAACCCGCTCTGCCTCCAGGCCCCTCCTTCGTCACTAGGGGACTGCTAGCCCAAACCCACAACGACATCTTCCTACACATGTGTGTGTTTTTGCGTTGCTTTAAGATACTATCAAGAGCTACTGACGGGGTGACCCTCGTACATGGTTGGTGACAACGAGCAGTGATGTAATTACTCCAGAAGATCACCGGGCAACTTCTTACCGAGCTGAACGTACACTTTGCACGTCGTATACGGTCCAACTTGACGGCACTACTCCTAAGTATGTGCTCAAGAGAAATTAAAACCAGTACTCACCGTTAAATAGGCATTTAAGTATGTACGGATGGTTTTATTCTTCGTTGTAAAAAAACAAAACAAAAAGGGAGCGACCGAGGACCTGCAGCTGCTGAAGGAAGAAGCAGCGTCCCCATACGCGTCCCCCACCCACCCCACGGAGTCCCAGTCAGGAAAGGAAAGGAGCACGTGAACACAGCCACGTGGAAGCGTCTCAGTCCGTCGGGCTGTGTGAAAGAGGCCCAGTCAAAGGCCGCAGGGGAGAGCGGGTCACAGAGATGACCTTCTGGAAGAGGGAGCACGACAAGGGCAGAAAAGAGATGGCCGGTGGCCGGGAACTGATGACCGAGAGCGGAGCTGGCTGCAGTGGGACCTGGGTAACGTGTCTGCAGAAATGGAATGCCCCATATCGTCACGGCAGTAGTGGTGATGGTGGTTTCTTGGCAGTTGGAGTTCGCTGAAATCAGAGAGCTCGCAGTAGAAAGCAAGCCGCATTTGACGACATGAAATCTGAACCTCAGCAGCTTAACGCTGGGACACACCCAAGACGTGAACAGACCTGGAAACCCCAAAGCTGAGAGAAGTGGGGTCAGACGCCAAAGGACGAATATTGGCCCACGGTATGTGAACTAAACTATCTGAACTAAGCAAAGGCATAAGAAAGAAGGAGGAGGAGGAGGGAGAGGAGGAGGAGGAGGAGGAGGAGAAGAAAGCAGACTCGAGGCTTACAGAGGCTGAAGGGGAGGGAAATGGCCACCTAGCGAGAGAGTCACGAGGCGAGGAGCAAGCGTAGAGCTATGTATCGGGGTGTTCCTAAACAGAACCCTAAAACTCAGACTGCACTCAGCGTTCTCCTCCCTGAGGCAACTGCGCCTGGCCATGCTCAGAGGCACCCCGTCCAGGGACCCCTGGCACAAGCCCAGAGGGAAGTCGTTAGGCCTGCCTGCTTTCACTTCCCATCGGCTTGCCGGTGGTCAGGCCCTGACATTGTAACGTCTTGATGATCCAACGAGCTATCTATAGCAGCTCCTTATCTCTGTGCAACCAGCCAGCCAACAAAACACCAGCGCCCTTGCTGTCGAGTCGAGCCTCATGGGTGGACACTCTGGAGTAAGAATGCCCCATAGGGTCGTCTTGGCTGAAATCTTGATGGAATCTCTAGCGCTTTCTCCCCGGTGCCCATGGGTGGGTTTGAAACACCAACCCGTTGGCTAATAGGGAAAACCTTTTGTCCTACTCAGGGACCCCCACTGCCCTAATTCAAGCCCTCATTATCTCCTGTCTGGGCAACAGGTGAGAGCCTGCTAGCTGGTCTCCCCTGGCAGTGTTGGAACAACTCAAATGCAGGTTCCACGGGGTGACCTGCAGCATCCTTAGAAAATACAAATCAGACTTGTCCCTCCTCTCCTGAGCGCTCCGATCAGCCGACAGCAGCAGTCCCTGCTTCTCGGTGAGGCCGAAGTCTCTCTGAAAAGCTGATGAACAACAGTGAACCCTTGCTCCAGAAAGACGGTACAGCGGACCCCTTAATTCCACACGAAGACTGGCTCTTGGATAAAGTCCAAGCCCAAAGGACATTCTGCCTGGTAAAGCAGAGGGGCAGCAAGAGAGAAGACCGTCGACGGCATGCCTTGGCACAATAGGGCAACAGTGGGCTCCAGCATAGCTGTGAGGATGGTGCAGGGCTGGGCAGTGTGTCCTTCCCAGGGACACAGGGTCACTGTGCGTCGGAACCAACTCCACAGTGCCCAACAACAACAGCGCCACGGGCCTGACACAGGACACATGGCACTCTGCTGCTGCTGCTGCTGTCGCCGTTGCTCCGTGCCGACCAGTGTGTGACTTGTCGGGAGACCTTTCCACGGGGGTTTCTTGGCTGTCACCTCTACAGATGCAGGTCACCAGGTCTTGTGGTGGCCCCTTTCCAGATGAGTCGGAATTGACCCAATGGCAGCGAGCGAGCGAGTGAGCGAGTGAGTGAGTGAGTGAGTGAGCGAGTGAGTGAGTGAGTGAGCGAGTGAGTGAGTGAGTGGAGTCCTGATGACATCCTGGGTGAAGCGTTGCTCTGCTAACTACAAAAGCAATAGTTCAAAAGCCCCAGCCCCCTCCCGAGAGAAGGATGAGGCTCTCTGCTCCTTCCGAGTTTTGGTCTTGGAAATCCGCAGGGCCAGTTCTACTCTGCCCCAGCGGGTGGGTCGCAGTGAATGAAAATGACCTTGATCGCAGGGGGTCTGGTTTGGTTCTGGAGCTCTAAAACCCAATCGCGCCTTCAACCTTTGTCAACCTCTTCTGCAAAGAGGAGTCTTGGTGGCACAAGGGGTAAGTGCTCAACTGCCACCTGAAGGTTGTTGGTTCAAAACCACCAGCTGCTCCAGGAGAGAAAAGACCTGGTGACC